TGACCTGGCTTAAGCAGTTGTTTTTTTATGTTGTGATTAATATTGTCATGTTAGTTGCTTGCTGTTGTTTCATTCAGTGTATTCCCTGCTCCTCTTTCTCTGCCTCCTCATCAAATGCGATATAAACAAAAATCTTTATTCCCTCAAAATTAAATAAAAAGAGGGGACATGTAGGAATCCACAATCTGCGTATGTGCAGGGATTTTCCTGTCTTGGATGGCAAACCTCAGATAAGGAAGGTTACTTGCACGTAAGCACCAGGAAATTATATTAGAAGATAAGACCCTAATTCTGTAAACAAGAGGAACAGGAGGAGAGGAAGTGGGATGTGTGTTAGATTTTAATTATAACCAAATATTAGAAGTGCTTAAGCCAGCAGTAATGATTAACCTATGATTTAAGTTACCTGGAAGATTCTGTGAGTCAATGAGATGCTGCCAAGTACACTGTAACTTGAAAGTAACAAACTATATAATGTCACTATGTAAGACAATAAAGTTACCACATACATCCTCAACCTTTGTGTGTGTGTGGTCTCTACAGGCCACGCCCACCCAGGTTTTGTGGCTCCTGGTGTTTTCTTTTCTGTGGGAAAAATGTTTTTCCCCCACACTTCCCAAATACCCAAAGGGCTCTTTGGGTGTTTAAGGTTGCAAGACCCCTGGTCTAGACCTAAGAACTTGTATACATTTACAGTCATGCATACCGAAGAAAGATACTCTACAAGCAGAAGAGAACATCAATTAAAAAGTGAGAAGCAACTTCCCTACAATGCAAGATTCCATTTGGAGCATTTGGTTAATTTAAAAAGGAGACATTCAGTGTGGTGGATACCATGGAGGAAGATTAACCAGGACAGCTTCATATTAGTGGCAGCATTAGGAGAAGGATGCTGGGGTACCTCCTTTGGGAGGAACTACCACCTGGGGCTCTTAGACGGGCTTGGGGGCCGCTGGGTAAGCAAAAGAAAGAATCAGAAGACCTTCCCTGACAGCCCAACCCAACTTCTACTTTCTACCTCCATGGACTTTACACTTCCAGAACATCCTGATCAGCAGAGACCACAATGGCACACTAGAAACGCAAGTCTACAGAAAAGCTATCCATACTAACCAAGTGCTCCACTACCAAAGCAACAACCCAATCTACCATAAGAGAAACCGTGTAAGAACTTTATTTAGGTGAGCCCAAACACACTTCAGCAACCTGGAACAGCAGAAAAAGAGCTTCTATATAACATATTCCAACAAAATGGATATCTACGCAACTTTATCAAAAAGTTCCTGACCACAACCAACGTCTATGGAGATTGTCAGTCATCCAGGTCATAATTGTCCCAAAAGTGCTTTTTCAAGAGGCAACTGGACTTTGTTTTTCTCTGAAGCTGTTTCGCTTCTCATCCAAGAAGCTTTTTCAGCTCTGTAGAAGCTTCTTGGATGAGAAGCGAAACAGCTTCAAAGAAAAACAAGAAAGTCCAGATGCTCATTTGAAAAAGCACCTTTGGAGCACAACCAACACAAACCCTAAAAATAATTACATTGCCATACATCAAGAATATCTCGAAAACCACCAACAGAATACAACCACATGGAATTAGCAGAGCACACAAGCCAACTCGAGCCCTTCAAAACATCCTAAGCAACCCTAGGACCTAACAACCCCAGAAGAAAAAAAAAGGAGTCATCTATAATAGGGATCCCCAATCCACAGTCCGCGGCATGCCAGAAACTGGGCCGCGCCAACTAGCAAAGCCTTATCCATGGGATGCAGGCAGCACATGAAACCACGTCCCTTTTACTCAAAATGTGTCTCCATGGAACAGGTCCCTGGTGCCCAAAAGGTTGGGGGGGGGCATTAATCTACAACACAATGTAAAGTCTGCAACAACCACTAGTAGGATGAATAGACAGAAAACTGGCAGAACTAGCAGTCAGACTCAGAAGACATGATGAAAATTCTTTTATTTCACAACATACAGATTGATTTAACCATCATTTCAATTGGGAAAATGTGACCATCCTAGACCAAGCCAAGTCCAAAAACATCAGGGAATTTCTAGAAGCCTGGCACTCTGACAAATCAGCCATCAATCAGGGTGGATTTGATTTAAATCGAGTTGATTTAAATCACAATTTAAATCATGATTTAAATCACTAGTAAAAAGGCTTGATTTAAATCAACTCGATTTAAATCATAATTTTTAAAGAGCAACTGTCATCTCTGCTACTCCTTTGACCCACTGTTGACTCACCGATAGTTCCAGTGTTGCAGAATATACAGCCTCATGCTACATAACTAAGCTCCATTTCATGCTGAATAAACTAAATTATTTATGTATCTTAAATAGAAAACTATCTTACGATAGATTTGTACCCCAAAAGTTTTTTATTAAAATAAATTCAATAAAAATCAAAAAAATCCGATTTAAATATAAAAAATCTGATTTTTTTGATTTTTTTAAAAAAATCATTTATTTTTATCCACCCTGCCATCAATAGACACATGGACATTAACATCTTCTAGACCTGTGATGGCGAACCTATGGCACACGTGCAACAGGTGGCACGCAGAGCCATATTGGTGGGCACACGAGCTGAATTCCGGTGTGCATGAGTGTGCCGGCCAGCTAATTTGCAGGCCTTCTGTGCCCACCAGAAGTCAGAAAACACACTGTTTCTGGCCTCTGGAGGGTCTCTGGGGGGTGAGGAAGGCCCGTTTTTCGCTCTCCCCAGGCTCCAGAGCCTTTCTAGGAGCCCGGGGAGGGTGAAAACAGCCTTCTCCGTCCCCCCGGACGCCCTCCAGAGGCCGGAAACGGCTCGTTTCCTGACTTATGGTCCACCGGAAGTCCGGTGGCCCGTGCCATCGCATGCCATAAGTGGGGGGAGTGTGGGATGTGTGTGTGTGTGTCACGCACGCATGCATGGGGGGTGGGGCACATAGAATTATGGGTGTGGGCATGGGTGCGCGTGACCCCCCCCGGTGCGACCCCCGCTTTTGGCACTCGATGGCAAAAAGGTTAGCCATCACTGCTCTAGACTATGCAAAAGGGACTCTCCCCCAGCCAGTGGTGGGATTCTACCGGTTCTGTAGAACGGGTAGTTAAGTAGTTAAGTACTTAGGAGAACTGGTTGTTAAAAGAAATCTCCTTTTGTTTTTTCCCACTTTACAGGGTTAATCCTGTAAGGAATTACAACATTCGGTATTGTTTCCTAGCCTAATCTTTATTGCCCTGCTTACAGAAACTGCCTCTCTGGCAGTATGCCTAGACTTACTGTCACTTCTGGTTCCGGAGGGGTTTTTTTTTTGCTTGACTTTCTTAAACGGGGAAGGGTTGTTTTAAGCTTTTTACACCGCTGTTGGGAGGAAATACTCCCCTGTTGGAGTTCTTCCAGCCAGGGTGCAATGATCAGCACTTTGAAGAAATAATTGAATAACGAAGCAGAAGCTTTTAATGACAAGGAACCAAGATGAGTGACATTCAGCAAGGCTTCTTGGCTAGCTAGAAAGATTGACATTCAAACGTGAGTTTACATACCCTTTTTGACTTTTGGTCTAAAACTGGGTTTTGGTGGTTTAATCCTGTTTAGTGATGGGATAATTTTCCCTATTCAGCTTTGTTTGGAAGGAAAAATGTTAATCTCTGTTCCTGAAAAGAAGCAGCTTTGAAATCTGACTAGTTCTGTGTCTATTTGTTCTGGTAATTGGTTTAACAAGCAACAGATACTCTGTTTGCTCCTTTGCTTCATTCTGGAGAGCTTAAATGACCTCTCTGCTAAAGGGTTTCACTTTATGAGCAAGAGTTGGCTGCTGATAGTTATCATTGCATTTTAACTATTTTAATTCCTCAAGGTGCTCTGGCACCCTCCCTGATTTGTAACTCCAGTTTGCAGGTATTTCTAATCTAATGATTGGTATTTAGGGCAGCTTTTTGCAAACAAAGCAGCTTTTTGTATTTTTGTACAGGTAATCCTTGATTTACAACAGTTACAATGGCACTGGAAAAAGTGACTTATGACCGTTTTTCACACTTATGACCATTGCAGCAAACTGTTATTAGGGCAAAGAAGTGATGCCACATGACCACCTGGCCACGCCCACCCAGTCACATGAAGCACCGCAGTTGTGAAATGAATGACACGGTTGTTAAGAATGCTGCAACGGACATAAATGATGACCAGTCATAAGTGCAAGGACCGGTCAAAAGTGCGAGGACCACTCAGAAATGACTTTTTTCAGTCCTCTGAGTCCCTATACACATAGCCATGCCCACCCGGTCACATGACCTCCAAGCCATGCTCACTCAAATAAGCCACGCCCACAGAACCGGTTTTAAAAAAACTGTCCTCAGCCCAAAAAGGACCCCAAGCACCACTCCACCAGCAGTCAGCACCCAAATCAGCATAGATTAACTCCAAGGTTAATATCAAACTAAAAATCAAGAAAGTACCAGCAAACAGCCCAGCCAAAGACTCTCTAAAGCCATCCCCATCCACAGGAAAGACACCAGAATATAAACTGACAGCAAACCCGTCTCCCTTCTACCCCTGATGATGTTCCCTAGTTGGGCCATGAAACGTCTGCAAGAAAACAAGCCAGTCGGAGAGTATCCAGGAGCCCTCGTGCCAGCCCTGCGCTCCAAATAGTCTCCTTTATCGGTACTTTACATTCCCTTCTGGCGCGGCCGCCTTACCTCGGCTTCCAAGCTCTTCGTGCCGAGGAAGGGCAATCTCCGAAAACGGTCACGCGGTCGAGCCGCCTTCGAGGCTTTTCTTCAACTAAACAGGCCGTGCGGGTTCCCAAAGCGAGCCGCTGCCCCGCCCGGCCCTAGGTCGCTGCCTACCCACCTGCCCCCGCCGTCTCTGTTCGGCCCTGCCTGGGGGCCCAAAGGGGGAGGCTTTCTTTTCTGCTTGGCAGGCCGCCTTGCGCCTCCCGCGCCATTGCGCACAGGGTAAGAGCCCCCCGCAGGACCCCGCTGCCCTCCCCCCGCGCGGGAAACTCACATCTTCTCGGGCTGTGGCTCCGCTGCGACTCTGCGGGGAGGAGAGCAAAGAAAGCGTCACGCCGGGCCTCCCCCACGCCGCCCCCTCCCCCGCCGCTCCCCGCGGAGCTCACCGTGGGACGAGGCGACGATCTTCTTGCGCTCCTCCACCGTCGCCAGGCGCCTCCAGAGCGACGGGTAGCGCTTGTAGAGGGAGCCGCGGAACATCCGCAGGTAGTTGCCCACCTGCAGGGCAACACAAGGGGCACCGGCGACAGGTTAGACGCCGCCGCCGGCGGGCGAGCCGGCTCGGCCGAGGCAGCACCTGCGGGGGGGGGAGGGGGGGAGGACTACGGCGGCGGAACTGCCCGCCACAAGGCCGCGGAGGCCGGCCACTGGCCCGGTCTGCCACCCACCTCGGAGCCGATCATGTAGAAGTCGCCGTCCTCCTCCAGCTGGAACTTGACGGGCTTCTGCCCGAAGGTCTTGCTCAGCGCCATCATCATCATGGCTGGGCACGGCCTAGCGCACGACGCCAACGCGCACGCGCGGCCCCTCGGGACCCGGATGAGGCGGTCGCTATGGAGACCGGGCCAAGCACTGAGGGTGGGGCGCGCTGAGGCGCTCGGAGGCTGAGAGACCCCCCGGGACGCGGAGCTTCCTCGGAAGCGCTTTCCGGCGGTGTCGCTGCGCGGTGAGCGGCGCGTGGAAGCCCTTCCGGGTTGGGCCGAGCAAGGAAGGGATTGCAGAAGGATTTGAGTTCCTCAGGAAAAACAGACCCGACAAAAGACGAGACGGAGTTGCGATGAACGTAAAGAATCGCCTCTAGAGAAGTGCCAAAACCGAGGATGGTGGAAAAGGAAAAAAGTGGCATCGCCCTAGGCGTCCACTCAGTGGTGGGATTCAATATTTTTAACAACCGGTTCTGTGGGCGTGGCTTAGTTGGGGGTGTGTGGCTTGGTGGTCATGTGACCGGGTGGGCGTGGCTAGCTGGTCGTGTGACTGGGTGGGCGTAGCTAGCTGGTCATGTGACTGGATGGGCGTGGCTATGTGCATAGGGACTACTCAGAGAGCTGAAAAAAGTCATTTCTGACTGGTCCTCGCACTTATGACATCCTCACATTTATGCCCATTGCGGCATTCTTAACAACCGTGTCAGTCATTTCACCACTACTTCTCTTCACCATGGTGACAAGATAGGGCGTAAAACATAAAATGTGAGGACAGTCGTAAATTCAAGGACTGGTCAAAAGTGCGAGGACCGGTCAAAAATAACTTTTTCAGCCTTCTGACTAGTCCATATGCACATAGGGACTATTCAGAGGGCTGAAAAAAGTCATTTCTGACTGGTCCTCACATTTTTGACCGGTCTTCGCACTTATGACCTTCCTCACATTTATGCCCGTTGCGGCATTCTTAACAACTGTGTCAGTCATTTCACCACTACTTGTCTTCACCACAGTGACAAGATAGGGCGCAAAACATAAAATGTGAGTAAGTCGTAAGTGCGAGGACTGGTCAAAAATAACTTTTTCAGCCCTCTGAATAATCCATATGCACCAAAGGATACAGCAATAGAGAGGGATGAAGGAAGGAGAAGAGAGATGGAAGAAAGAAGGAGAGACAGGGAAGAAAGAGAAGGGAGGAAGGGAAGGGAAATTAGAGTAAGAGGGAGGGTAAGAGAGGGAGGAAGAGAGGAGGAGAAGGAGAAAGGAAGAGGAAGTAGGGAGGAGAAGAAGAGGGGGAGGAAGAGAAAGTAAGAAGGAAAGAAAAGAGAGAGGTGGTAGGTTTGAGGAGAAAGATTGCTGTACAATAAAAAAGATGAAAGGGAAGAAAGCCAACCCCAAACAAATATAAAGATATTAAAATAAAGAATGAATTGTTAAACTTTAAAGAATAAAAGAATAAATATGAACAAATAGCAGTAATTAGAAACACACATACAAACATACAATGTATTTTCTTTGAACAGAGTATTTGGCCAGTTCACAAATTTAAACAGTGTTTAGTCATTTCAATTAAATTTACAGTTTCTATATTTCCTTTTTGCCATATTTATTCCACATCTATTTTTGTAAAAAACCAATATTACCCTTCATCCTCATCTCTAATCTTAATCAAATTCAATTTTTCCCTTCTATTCTATATTATGCCCCTTCCCATTGTCATCTATTTTTATATCCATCCTCACATTGGTTAATTATGTAATATTACAGTTGTTTAATATAAATTCAACATTTTAATATAAATCAATTAGTTATATAACTATCTTTTTTGTATATTAATCAATATGAACATGAATATTCCAATTATTTCCATGCAATCCAATTTCTTACAAATCAATTAATTATATTTACCAATAATAATAAACCAAATAATTTCCCTCATATATTCCTCCAAACCACAATTTAACCATTTCTGCTTTCAACACAATATACAATTAATAGTATCTCAATTATTATCCCTATTTAAATAGAGCTTTTTTTCTTTTGTGTTTTAAAATCTTGAACTCTCCTCTTTTTCCCTAAAGAGGAACTACCTCTTTAGGGAAAACTACCTTTCCACTAAAGGTAGTTTGCACCTACCTTTTTTGGTGAGGAAAAAGAAAAGAAATCTGCCTGCCTAATTTTCCAACGTTGCAGCAACAGTAAAGCAGGCTTTTACTTTCAGTTTCGTTTTTCAGCATAGATAGGGGGGAAAAATCTGCACTCTTTGCAAGCAAGCAGCAGAGCCCTGAGCAAAACAGCTGAGAACAAATCAGCTGAGAGTCGGGAGGCCGATAGAATCAGGGGGCTAATTAGCCTATGCTGAAGCTCCGCGGGCCAATAAAATTACAAAAAAACACCGAACTGTTTGTTAAATTGCTGGCTCGCCCGCCCCTCGCCCACCACTATTTATTGGCAATAAATAGTGCGGAGGGGCGGAGCAAGGGGCGGGGTGAGCCAGCAATTTAACAAAGGGTTCGGCCGAACCCCCTAGAACCGGCAGAATCCCACCACTGCAGGGTAGCCAACGACGCAGAGGAAATAGATGAACTGTTTGGTAGTCCGTGAGCTGAGATGTGCAGAAAGCACCTCACAATAGTAATGGGGGACTGTAACTACCCTGGCATCAACTGGGAGACAAACTCTGCAACAAATGCAAGATCGAATAGGTTCCTGATGAGCCAAGCTGTCAGGTCTGCCGCCATTCAAATCCTAAGAAAGAGAAGCCCCAAGTCTGTCCAGTTAGAGAAAAGGTGTTTTTACTAAGAATGAACTGATAGCAGCAAAAGGTCTGAGGGAAAAATTGGCGTGAAAGTTACACATTGAACGTCACCCCAAATCCCTCCCCCCAAGCTCCAGACCAGAAAGACCAATCTGCCTCCAATATGATGTTATGGGAAAACCTTTTCAGCCTGTGTTGTGTGCCTTCAGAGGCCCAGGACCCTTGGCCTTGGAAAAATAAAAAAAAACTCCACTCAGTTAATGGGTAGCAAACCTCCCAATTCTCATGGGAACACTTCACACCAGCTCACTTCCCCACCCCAAGTGCCGAAACCCCCCTCCCTTTTTCTATGGCAACCGAGGGCAAACAAGCTGCAAACCGCACTCTGGAGATCCAGCTGACATTCCCCCCTCCCTTTGACAGAGGCATTAGCCCTGTAAAAGAATAAAAGGCATAATACAAAACTAAAATAGGAGCCTAAAAAATGCTAAATAATATCAAACCTAAAGAACACTGCCACTAAGCATTGTATTTTCCCTTTAAATTTCCTTGACTTCAAAATGCTGTTCCTCCTCTATAACGGGTGTCAAACTCGATTTCATTGAGGGCCACATCAGGGTTGTGTTTGACCTCCGAATTTGTGTGGGGCCATGGTGGGCATTTGACACAGGCTCAAGATGCATTTTTTTCCTTTTTATTTTTTGGCCATTACCCAACATGCCCTTTGTTTGGCTGTTAAACACAGCATATTAATTTTGTTTTTTGGCCGTTACATGGCATCTTCAAGTTTGTTTGGCTGTTGAATAGAGATTGCTGTTGCATCTTTATTTTTGTTTTTTGGCTGTTACACAGCATATCAAGTTTCGTTTTGGCTGATACCCAGCATGACCATTTGTTTGGCTGTTCAATACAACATGTTCATAGTTGGTTTAATTTTTTTTTTTTTTAATTTGATTTATATGCCGCCCTTCTCCGAAGACTCAGGGCGGCTTACAATGCGTTAAGCAATAGCCTTCATTCTTTTGTATATTTTATACAAAGTCAGCTTATTGCCCCCACAAACTGGGTCCTCATTTCACCTACCTTAGAAAGGATGGAAGGCTGAGTCAACCTTGAGCCTTGGCGAGATTCGAACCCTGCAGTAATTGCAGGCAGCTGGTCTTAAGCAGCTTAATAACAGGGTGCCTTAAAACCTTGTACTACCAAGGCTCTAATGATCTCTACTTAAACCTCTCTTTGTTGTTTCCCTCCATCTATGCATTGCTTTTCATTTAATCATTTTTTTCTTTATCCTTTTTCATAGCATTCATAACATTTTAACCTTGAGACATGGTTTTTGCTTAAAATATATTTTTAAGTATATTTTAAAATTCCTTTTAACATTTTCAATTAATCATATTCACCCTTTTTACCTTAACATGTTACCATTAAAACATAGTTCTTGCATTAAACATATTTTTACATGTATTAATTAGTTTCATTTAACATTCTTAATTTCTATAAAAACCTTCCTTTAATTTATTACAATCATCTTTATTTTAATTTTTTATCACATTATCTTCATTTCCTCATCTGCAAACATAAATTTCCTTCCATTTTCCAAGTTTTTAATTTTATTCTCCATAAATCCAATTAAATCTCTTTTCATATTTTTATTCCGGATATAATGTATCAAATCTCTTTCTTTTAAGGCTACGCTTAATCCTTCTTCTATTCCTGCACCAACATTCAAATTATTATTTGTTCAACTGTAGAAGTTCCATTGTAAATTCCTTTTCTTTTCACCAAAGTCCAACTGCTTGCAGTCAGGAAAGAAAAACCCTCCTCCAAAGTTCAGCAATTTTTTTTTCTGTAGAGTTCAAAGTTCTAATAACAAAAGGGGGTTACAAAGTTCCTCTTTACTCCCCTGTTGGAGTTCTTCCAGCCAGGGTGCAGTAATCAGCACTTTGAAGAAATAATTGAATAACGAAGCAGAAGCTTTTAATGACAAGGAACCAAGATGAGTGACATTCAGCAAGGCTTCTTGGCTAGCTAGAAAGATTGACATTCAAACGTGAGTTTACATACCCTTTTTGACTTTTGGTCTAAAACTGGGTTTTGGTGAAGATTAATCCTGTGTTTAGTGATGGGATAATTTTCCCTATTCAGCTTTGTTTGGAAGGAAAAATGTTAATCTCTGTTCCTGAAAAGAAGCAGCTTTGAAATCTGACTAGTTCTGTGTCTATTTGTTCTGCTAATTGGTTTAACAAGCAACAGATACTCTGTTTGCTCCTTTGCTTCATTCTGGAGGGTTTCACTTTATGAGCAAGAGTTGGCTGCTGATAGTTATCATTGCATTTTAACTATTTTAATTCCTCA